TAAACGATGAACAACTAGAATACAATGAAGCTTGAAAGGTCCCTAGAAGACAACTTTTTTATTTTTGTTTTTGAAATAAGACGTACTTCTATAATATTAGCCGTTAATGGCATCATAAAGTAGCACAACGTCAATACAAGAAAATAAATCATAAGCAAAATATAAAGACGACAAAAGCGATCAAGCAAACTACGCTAAATTAGTGTGCTGCATTATTAGCAGATCGGTGAATGACGTGGATGTGAAGATGGCGATGATGGTGAAGCAATCGGTGAGCTTCAATAAGGTGGAATCCAACAATAAACTTATCGAGTTGCAACGAGGATAATTGGCGGATCACAGTTGCAGCATCACTCTCTGTAATCGCACGAGGATGTTGCAAATCATAGTTTTTCAAACACAGTTTGAACTTTTGGCTTTGGCAATTCCCTTGGTATTTAAGTGATGATGGAGTCCAAGGAGAAATGTAAATGTAGAACAAAGTACAACTTTTGGCTTTGGCAATTCTCTTGCTTTTTGGTTTGAACTTTTCAAACACGTACGTTGGACACAGTTTTGAACTTTTTTAGGTTTTTCTGCATCGGATCCTTCGCCAACAAGAGGTGGCTTTCAAGTATATCAATTTCAGCAACATTAGTTATTGTTATTAGATTCAATTGCATCATATATCCCTAAATTATAACTCCAATTTTAAATTGGTCCTTAAACTTTTAAATATTTTAATTTCATCCTCAAATTATGTCTCTCATTCTAAATTAGTCTTTAAACTTTGAAACATTCTAATTTCATCCCCAAACTATGAACCTATTTCTAAATTAGTTCTCAAACTTTGAAATTTCTAATTTCATCCCCAAATTCATCCAAATATGTAATTGTTTTCTACCAAAAATTAACCTAATTTTTGTTTTTCAAACATATTATAATATAACTTGGCCTAATGATTTTATTAACAATGGATGTGATTAGTATATACATATAGTTTGGGATGAAATTGAATTGTTCAAAAAATTTGGGGACCAATTTAGAGTAAAGGTCATAATTTGGGGATGAAATTGAAATATTTAAAAGTTTAAGGAATAATCTAGAATGATAATTGTAGTTTAGGAGTGGAATTGAAGTATTTAATAGTTTAAGGATCAATTTAAAAAAAATCAATTTAATTACCAGCTTTGAATTATTCATATTTTAGTCACTATGTTACTATGTTGTTAGTAATTAATGGCGCTATGACGTGATAACGATATCAAAACAAAATTATTTTAGAAAAGTTAAATATACATCAAAACAATATTATTTTGAAAAATATTCATCATTACATGAGTCTTATGTATCATTAACGAATCAAAATGTATCAAGTCATTAATGAATAAAATAAAAGTAATTGAAGTGAAATGTTGAGGTTCATAGATGGTGTATGTAATTCATACACATGAAAATTTCAGTCAAACATTCGGATTGAATAGGCTGGATCCATAGTTTATCTATATTGCAAGCTAACGACCACCTAACTTTGACTTTACATTATGGTTTACTCAATTTCGATGATCAATGTCTGTCTTTGTCCAATGTACGTGTATAAATCTAACTTTTCTCCCCCTCGTGTGGTATCAAAACATGTTGAATTAAAAAATGTTTGTACATTTAGGTCAACCCAAAAACTTAACTCATGGGATTTACTTCACCAACTCATAATTTTCGTTGGGATGCAAATTTGACTTTAATACTTTAGTAGGGCAAACTATAACCATCTGCGTGTGGATTCTTGATATGAAAATTGATTAGTTGGATTATAATGTTATAAGGTTTGGTGTTAGGCTTAGGGTTATGATGATTGTTCGTAGGTTGACAGGATAAATGAACATGTTTGTCTAACAGCAGATTTGACTCTAAAAGATTATGTGAACCTATCAAAAATCATGTCAAGTGATTGTGACTGATCGAAGGATATGAATCTTTGGAGAATACGATCAATGGAAAAATTCTTCCGGAAGTTATAATGAACGAAAGAGTGATAATGAGGGGGTGAAGATAACTGTTGAAACACGCACTCTCCTGGTACAGAATGATTGCATGCATGTCTAAAGCACATGGATCATGATTTTGCACCCATTGCCAACCTTCATCATCATGCATGCCCCATATAACCCCCATGCCTCGCACTCGCAATCAAATCTTACAAAAATGTCAAACTCCCTATTTTCTTTTTTTTTCTTCTTATTTTTCAACCCAAACCCCTCTTAGATTCTCCTTCTTCTGTAGTTTTTATTATATTTTTGCACTTTTAATAATATTATGGTCTTTCTATAAAAAATATAAAAATATAAAAAAACAAAAATACTAATTTGAACCATGAAAATCAAATTCAATAACCAAAATATGTATTAACCATTTTTAACATCGTAATAATCCCCTCTCCTAGTAAGGCCGCCATTTGGCACCCAAGCAAATACCCATTATACTATTTATATTTATTGACTCACATAATCAGAGATTAGTATTCGATGTAGAGGCAAAAAAATTTAAGTTATTTGAGTTTGAATGTCTTATTTTATAATTCAAACTTTATTTGATTTTTTTTTTCAAAGTTTATGAAGTTCAAGTTTCTTTTTAAATTTAATTATAAATATTTATAATATTATGATATTATTCAATTCCAGTCTAAATGATTTTCTACAATTATATATATATATATCTTCATATTTTTTGTATATGGTATACATGTCTTACAGAGTTGAGAAACTCACTCAAACTTAAAAATTAAATCACTAATTACTAAAAATTTTGAGTTATTCGAGCTCTATTTTATAATTACGAATTAAATTAAGTCGAATCAAATTAAAAATTCAATTTTTTAGTCGAATTTTGTTCACTTCTTCTCAAAGCAAATCAGAACACTAGTTATTTTTGGGGTTTCGAAAGGTAGGGGAAAGGTTGAGCTTTTTGTATTAGATGGAAGAAAATTGATGTCAACTACACCTAGATATGGTTAGTGAAGGACCAATTTTATTGTCACCAAGGGGGTTCCTTTAATCAGATTTGGCCATCATTAATTTTAAACAATATGTAACCCATTTTCAAATCCCAAACGTCGGCCAGTTTAGTCACCAAAAGTTCTATATGCAAATGAGATTCTTTGCAATTGAATTTTAAAATGGCAGTAAGAAAGAAAATGAACAAGAAAGGGTATTTCTCAAAGAGTATATATTTTGTGGTACTTGAAATTAATTTTATTATTCGATTTGGTACTTAAACTTTTCTTTGTTGAATTAAATATCTGAATTTTGTTTTAGGGTTCAATTTGATACCTAAACTTAACTTCCTGAACATTGATTAAAAATCTTAAGTACCAATCTGAAGAGAGAGAGAAAGTCTAGGTACCAATTTGAACCAAGGAGTCAAATTTAGGTACCTAATTGAATAAAAAAATAGATATCGAATTAAACCTTGAAAAGAAGTTTATATTCCTAATTGAATAGACAAAACATAGGTACAAAAAAATTTTTAGGCATGCTAACTTTGGACATAAGTGAAATGTGTCTTTTGAAAAAGTGACTCCATAGATATGTATATGTCACGGACCGTGAGCCAAGGGTCGGACTCATGCACACTTAGACACCCAAAGAGTTTCTTGCAACACATTGGAACCGATAAGTCCGCCAAAGTTGGACTATACTTGATGCCATCCAAAAGGGCAACCTTCAAGAAATTCAATTCATCAAGTATATGAAATCTAGTCGGATTAGGATCTAAGGACAAGAGACAGACTTTGAGTTAATATAGTTTGTGTTTTATTAGGACATCATCAATTGCAAGAGAACTCAAGTACAAAAAGAGGCTCTCATTACATTAATTGATATGATCAGTTATGAGCAAATAAGATGAATCTGAGCATCGTCGCAAATCTCTCTTTTCATCACAAGCCTTTTCTTATTCTGGTTTCACCTATTCAATCTGTTGTACCTTTTCTAAGCCGCGTAAGTGATTTTATGTTTTATTCATCTAGGTTGAAGGCTGACTTAGGAGTCTAACTCATGCTTTAGTGCCTAAGACTACACGGTTTGCTAGTTTCAAGTATAGTCCTATAACAAGTGATATCAGTAACACTCGAAAAATTTTCAAAGAACTAGATTGATAATTTCCTAGAATAGTTAGATGTATTACTAAAAATTCAAGTCAGTTCAGTAACATTTTGGCTACTGCAAGGAGTCTAAAGTGGAAATAAGGGAAGAGTTGAGTCTCTATGAAATAATTTATCCAAATAATTTATGGATAATTGCACAAGCAATGAAATATGAACTATTGGATTTTGATGGAAAATTTCATCTTTGTTATTGGCCATTGGATTGAGATATTAGAATTATTTTTAAAGAAAAATTAAGAGCTATTATATTATAATGAAAGAAGAAAAAGGTGAATAAAATTGTTCATCTTCTTCCCATACATTCTCTAAAGTAAGGGGTTTCATCATCATACTTTGTTTAATTTGAGAGGAGGAAAGAAGGGTTTAAAGGGGTTTTACACAAACCCTGGATCATCATCCGAGAGAAGAAGAATGCGTTCAAACATCCCAATCCAAAAAGAAGCTCAAAAGTAGAGCTTTATCTAACCTTTTTGGTATTTTCGTAAGATGGTGCCAAGGGAAGTGCTTTTATGATAATTGTTGCAAATTTATGATCAAAGGAGGGTTCTTGTAATACCTCAGAAGTTAGTTAGTGATCAAAACGACAAAAGTGAAAGTTTGAAGTTCAGGAATGAGGCTTATCTTTACCGAGTAACTAATTAATCGGAAAATCGATGATATATAACCGGTTCTATCAGCAATCCTGTTTTTAGGCCATTGTACTTGTAGGATGGAAAACGATGTCGTTTCGCCGCTAGGGAGACACCCATTCATTGAGATGGCAGCACCACATATATTACAGAACGAAACGCGTCGTTTCCATCCGTTCGTAAATAGTTTTGCAACGCCGGCCCTGGTCTTGGCACTGCACCCAATCTCGAGCTGAACTCAGCAATTGAAAAAACATAGCTTGCTTGTTTCATTTCTGGTACCCAAAGCTTAACAAATGGTAGAAAGATTTTTATCGCTGAAATAGTACTGGGATATATCTGATTTCTGCTAAGAGAAGAGAAGAGAAAAACATGGGTCGAAAAGTGACGGCGGCGATTGTGAGCCTTTGGGTAATTCCCGTATCCATCCTGGTAAATCGCATTGTTCCTGACCCTTACATGGTGAGACAACCAGTTCAAATTGATTCCTTCCTAATACTATCCAATGATATTGATGGTTACTAAAATAGTCGATTATGAGTCGATTACCCTATTTTAAATTTTTGGGCAGGATGAGATTTTCCACATACCTCAGGCTCAAAAATACTGCAATGGTGATTTCATGAGCTGGGATCCTATGATCACTACCCCACCTGGCCTGTAATGCTATCTTTCTTCTCTATTCTTCTCCTTTGTTTAGATGAAGCTTGAGATTTACTTTGTTGTAGTGTAAAAGGGTTGTTCATATGATATGGAAGATTTAAAAAAGTATTGGTTTTAAGTCTGGTCAAATTGGATCAAGTAAATTCGGCTTTTGTTCACTTTGAGTCGGATCTTTCGAGTTGGTGTTGGAAGGGGCAGATTGTTGCCCATTTACAATCAAATTAGATTAGGTTGGATTTGAGTTTAAGTTAATTGAGCTAGATTTTCAGCCTCGAACCAGAATTGACTGGTCTATAGCAAAGGGAGGAACTGCTTGCTTATTCAGTTAGATTATATTGATGTTGCGTTAAAAATTTCTTTTCCAATCTGGAAAGATGGGTTGTTGAACATATTGCTCAATTGTTGTAAATTTTATTAAACGCGATGTTTGAAATACTGTACAGGTACTATCTTTCACTTGTTCATGTTTCTGCTCTGTTTCCAATTAAGTATTTTCTACTACTGGCTTCATCGTTCCCAGAAGTTTGCTCCACTGTGGTTCTTCGCTCTGTAAATGGGGTCTTGGCAGTACTGTGCAGCATTCTTGTGTATGAGATAATAATCCACTTGAGGCCAGGTCTTGATGATAGAAAAGCGACTCTTTTTGCTACAGTTCTAACCCTGTATCCACTACACTGGTTCTTCACTTTTCTTTACTATACTGATGTTGCATCACTTACTGCTGTGCTCGCCATGTATCTTGCATGTATGAAGAAGAAATATCTATTCAGTGCTTTGGTAAATGACTCACCTTAAATATTTTTCTTATACCATCGATAAATAATAAAACTTTCACACACTGCCTGGGAACAAGATCAGTTAGCTATGTTTCACTTCGCATATGGGAAACTGAGTGTCTACTTAGGAACTTTCTATAAAAGGAAATCATATCAAATGGTTTTAGGATGGAATAGATTCACATCTATGATCTACCTTAATGTTTTCATATATTTCTTCTTTGTTGTTTCATTTAGAGTTTTACTCATTTCCACTTGTGTTCTTGCAGCTTGGGGCAACAGCAGTTGTTATTCGACAGACAAATATTGTATGGATGTTTTTTGTTGCCTGCTCCGAGGTCATTGATATAACTATGGCACATCAAAATGATAGTGTGGAAGTAGATGATTTAAAGGCATCAAACAAGGGTACCATTCTGTCAACCCTTGATACCGGTGTCCGTGTGAGTTCAAACTTGAGGAGAAGGAAGTCCAAGGGAAATGCAAAGGCTAGCAAACATTCTCCCTTCCAGAAAAACGCCTGTTCAACATCCCGAACGTCAGGTTCTTTTGACATCTTTGATCTTTCTTTTGTTAGTTAGTTAATTTGTAAAACCATGTAATTTAACCATTGTTCATAGGGATTAAGTTTGCAAGAGAAAAGGCCATTTTTGTTAATGTGATCTCCTTTTGGCTTTATAATGCAGGTCTGCTTCAAGAGATTCAAGCTATTGTTTTGACTTCATGGCGCATAAAGTGGGAGCTTTTGGTCTCCTTTAGCCCATTCTTTTTTGTACTGCTGGCATTTGTTGCTTTTCTCGTCTGGAATGGGAGTGTAGTTCTTGGTATCATTCATTTAACATGCTATTTGGTTCCTTTACCTCCCTTTTTGTCTTTCTTTTTACTCCGCCTGTTAATAATGCAGGTGCAAAAGAAGCTCATGTAGTTTCTCCACATTTTGCACAAATAATGTATTTTAGCCTTGTTTCTGCTATTTTGGCGGCTCCTCTGCATTTCACAATCAGTCATGCTCTAGATTTGTTTCAGTCATTCTGGAAGAACAGAATTCTTGGAATATCCATTCTATTATTGGCTTTGATTGCCAGTTTCCTTTCCGTACATTTTTTCAGGTTAGTTTACTCTTCTTTGTTGTAGGATGAAAAACTTGTACTCTTCCTTATTGTGGTTAATGGATTGTTGCAGCATTGCTCATCCTTATCTTCTTGCTGACAATCGGCATTATACCTTCTATCTTTGGAGGAAGATCATGAAATTTCATTGGTCAATGAAGTATCTTCTGGTGCCATTTTATGTTTATTCATGGTTCTCAATCTTCCGATTATTGGGTTAGTACAGTTCACTTTATATATTATTGAACTAAGCTTGTCCCTGTTTCTTCTGAGGTTGCAACATATCTTGCATTGGCAGATAAAACTCGGAGGAGGATTTGGATATTGGTGTATTTCGTTGCTACCTCTTCTGTTCTTATTCCTGCTCCTCTGATTGAGTTCAGATACTACACCATACCATTCTATTTTTTAATTCTTCACACCAATATTAACGACAGCCGAAGTTGGCTTCTGATAGGGATTCTATATACAATCCTCGACGCATTTACGATGACAATGTTCTTGTTTCGGCCATTCCAGTGGTACCATGAGCAAGGGGTCCAGAGGTTCATATGGTAGGTATGAAACACCAAAAGCTTAAACCGTGACGAGCATCACAGATTTAACTTATCTTAGTATTATTCTTCATTGGATCATGGAGAACTAACGCCCTTTAATTCATGTTTGGGCATCTAAATTTGACCGTGTTACTTGTAATTTTTACATTCATGTCAAGAAAATGGATATTTCATGTTTGATGCACACTTTGTAACCAAATGATGTTGGTGGTAATGTCATGAGATGTTAAAATGGCTTTAAGCCTTTAATCAGACGGCTTTGCCTTTCAGTTGTTGTAACAGTGAGTTCTGGAGTTTGAAGCTCCAACCGTGTCATGTTTGGCTGACTTGTTAAAAAGCTGCCAGAAATATGAGAGGTTAATTCCTTGCATTTAGGGTGACCAGAACCCTGAGCATTTTAACAAAAAAAGATTTACATTCATAAGAAGAGTGAGAAGAGGAAAACAAAAACCGATGGCTATTCCTACACCGGCGTGGTGATGTCACTTTCAAGCACAACATTAGGAATAAGACCATTAGTGTCAGTTTTTTTGACCAAAAGGTTAAAGGGCCCATTCGGATCATTAGGCGGGGTCGATCTGCTTTGGTGTGATCTGGTGGACTGTGGTGTTGGGGTTGAAGTCGGATCATGAGGTTGGTCATTGGGGGTCGAAATATTGGGGTCTGGGTTTTTGGAGAGAACCACGATTGTGTGCTTGGATTTGTCCAAGTTTGTCACACGACGCATAGTGGAGGTGGAGTAATTATCAAGCTCAGTAAAGGACTTGCGTGTAGCGGGCGGAGGAACTTTCGGGGAGCTTGTAGAGGCCTGATTTGTGATAATTAGTGGCTTGTGAATATGGACGGGGCATGCGCTTTGTTTGGACGCACATCGACGAGGACTTTGTCCTTGCTTTTTTGGTTTCAAGAGTTGTAGGTAAGTTATCAATAGTAGTGGGGGTATTTGGTTGGTTTGCATTTGCATGGTCAAGTCGGTGCTCTATTTCATTCTCAAAGATGGGTATGTATTGGGATCCCAAGATTGAGAACTCTTTATTACCCGTGTTGCGGTTTGCAACATTGTTTGAGTTACAACGTTGGCGACGCCGACAACCAACCATGGGCCAAAAGGATAGGTATCGGCTGAAGGTATGATGGTAGAGGGGGCTCATTTTCAAAGACAGAAGTAGTGCATGAGGTTTTGCATTAGTCGGAAAAAGCGTCCCCGACGACCACATTCCATTTGGTAGTCTAGTTTGATGAAAGGCCCGATACATTCTCCAATTTAAGTGATAAGGCTTCTTTTGTATAGGAGGACTAGTAGACCGGGGAAGTTGATTCATACAACAACGCAATTTGGATAGGGCTGCGAAGTGGGAAAATCAATTGTCCAAGGTTTTACGATTAAATAGTGACCGAAGATCATCTAGGGGCCATCAGATACTTCTCAGATGTAATCTGAACAGGTTTTGAAAGTGATCAGAAATTAATCATTTTCGATTTCCATTAGCTTAAAGGCTTGTGATAGTTTCCACAAATCATATAGTTTCGATCGTATGGTGTTATATCAGATTTTACGGTCAAGGAGTGTAACAACGATGGCTTGTACAAAGCTTTTGATCGCTAGATTTTGAACCATATTCGAAAAATCAATTGAACTCGTACCATTATTATAGGATCAAATAACATCACCTTCCAATAATGCGATTTCCTCCTCATCGCTGAAGGTATGTATCTTCCTTCAAGATTGGGGTTGAGACACCCCCATGAGAGTTTCCTTGTATGATAGTGGTTGTGTTGTAGGTGCGTTTAAAGTGGATAAACCCTTCATCGTCACTGCTTCCGTTGGATTATCGAGCATCTTTTATAGTGGTTAGATCAGCAATTAATAGTAAAATTAAACATAAACTAGTGAAGGGACTAAATTTTTTTAAAATAGTATAAGGACTCAATGTTGCAAATTAAAGTATAGGGACTAAATATTAATTTTTTAAATAGTAAAAAATCTTTTAACATACTTAAACCTAAAACAGAATAAATCTTCTAACAATGACAATTCAATTAAATGTGCTTTTAAATAATTTTATATTATATCAATCAAACAACAAAATCTTTCATTTCAAAAAACATAACCAAATATGTTAATGTTACATATCAAATAATATTCCAAGTAATTTTACATTCCAATAATCATATTAAATTTATATTTTATGAACTGCACACTCCTTAAATACCCAAATAGAAAAACTAAAACTGCAAGTGTCAAAATGAAAAGAAAAAAAAGTATAATATGGGAGCAAACATTGTATATAGGCCTTTAGTCTTGTGCCTTTTCTATTTATTTATAAGATTTATATTTATTTATAACATTGTAAAGACCAAGGCTCTTAACCTTGTTTTCCTACATGTTGTTACAAGTTTTGTTTTTCCTAATTTCCATTGTTTTCATGGTAGCTGAATGGCAAGTGGCTCTGCCAAATTCGTCGTTATTGCAAAGATAAACAAATCTTAGAACGATTTATATATTATACCGTTAAAAAAATTAAAGCACGGTAGAACGCAAGTCTCTTAATCGTTGGTTCAAGTCCCACGGTGGCCGTTTTCTTTCCCTGCCACTGTTAGCCACCTGCAACAGAAAAAGACAGGGTACAAAAGAAAGATCCTCGGAAGAAGTTGGCTTCTTCAGAGTGATTCAAGCCAAGCTTGCAGTTTTGCTTTCCATATCAACTTTATTCCTTGGATTCTCTCTAGCTTTTGAGATCAATAAGCAATGTTGAGACCTAGCCAAAACTCACTCAATAAATTTGTAATTTTTCTGAAACACAAGAAGCTATGTGCAGAAATGGACTTAAAGTTGAGCTTTCCCCGTCAAAACACTCGAACGCTAGAAACTAGGGCGTGCAAAAAGATATGATTTGTTAATCTAGTGATCCTATCAGGTTTTTTATTTTCTCTATATTATTAAAATTTATAAAACGATCATTTCACTATTTATATTTTAAATTCGTCTTTTTTTATTAAAAATTTAAAGATCGTATGAGTAGACGTTAACTTATTTATTGAGATATGATAAAATTATATTTTAATAATATCTACTGATATTACTGTTGTTTTCAGATACTGACTCGACATAATAATGTTTCAAGCACTAGTTAGATGATATAATATAAACGAGAGTCGATCTACAAAATACACTCAAAAATTTTAGGATCAAATTTTATCATATCTCAATTTACTGCTTAACATCTAACTCAGATGACCGCCATTTCTTTTGATAGAAAACAATGAGTTTAGAACATTAATTATCAAATGATCATTTTATCTTTTTAATAATCAGAAAACTCAACAAAGTAACACCCTATAGTCAATGATCATTTGTATACTTTATTATGTTTACTATCATCACTAAAATTATTAGATGATTATAAAATAATATATATTTATAATTTTTTTAATTTATTAAAAACGAACATATATCTTATAAATGTATCTTAATGGCATTCCCTTTTATAATAAATTATCCATACGATGCGTACATTATTCGAAGATTTAGTGTTGGCCACACTCCAATGTCAAAATATGGCCTCTATTTGACCGTTTCCCTTATTTTTCCTTTGCCTCTGAATAAGTAATCTTCCCTTCTTTTCCTCTCTTCCATCCTTCGTCTTGCACTTTCCCTCCCAAACCAAACTTTAAAACCTTATTCCAACCCAACCTCAACCCCTTTTTTTTGTTTTGTTTTGTGTTTTGTAAATGCGTCGAAATGGAGGGTCGAAGAATGGATCGCAAAAAAAACCATGACCATGAATTGGGATGCCCTACGAGATGATGACGATGAGTTCTTCGAACCTATCGACTTGCCGAACCAAAACTCCGATGAAGACGATGAAAATTTCGACAACTGTCACGTCTCCTTCCCTTCCACGGCTCCGCCCATTACGGAAGAGTTACCAACCATCGCCCCCACCCCAACCCCAGCGCCTGCCGACTATAATGTATGGATGGCGTCTCCTGGTTCCATTAAGAAAAGGAGACAAAAGCTTTTTCAAGGCATGGGCTTGAATTCCAACAAACAACTTCTTAGTCTCAGACGTATTGTTTCCATCAAGCCCCCCATCAAACCGGCTCCGGCTTCAATCCCCGCTCCTGCAACTGTTAAGACTACTGCTCCCCCCTGCAAAATCTGGAGCACCGACGACTGTTAAGAATACTGTTCGGCCCTGCAAAATCCGAATCCCCGTCGACTGTTAAGACTACTACTCCCACGACGGAACCTAAAACAACAACCGATGAAGAAGAGTCTTCTAAAAAGGAATTGCCTCACTCCCCGGTTTCTTTCGTGTTGGTACGATCCCGGTCGGAAGGTGAGATCGAGACTCGTTCCGCTTAAAAGCAAAGGAAACAAGAGAAGCTCGGCACCGTATCGAAGCAACGTCTAACGAGAACATATTAATTAATATCAACCCCATCTGCAAAATCATATGCCCTTGGAAACCTCAAAGCTTCTTCTCCTAGAAAATCGGAGAGTAGCCGTGGAAATAGAAAGAGCGGTCATTTAACCTCGATCGTCTCCAAACGTGGGTTCGAAGGGTTTTTCTTGATTAAGAATCTGGACACGGGGAAAGAGTTCATCGTCAACGAGTACGATCAAGACGGGAAGTGGAACAAGCTGAGTGATCTTCAAACAGGGAAGTTGACAATGGAGGAATTCGATAAATGCGTGGGGCATTCACCGGTGGTGGAGTTAATGCGTCGAGCAAATGACAGCAAGTCCAATTGGTATAACTCCAAGAGCTTGAAGATGAGCATGAACAAAGGTGCTGCCGTGTTGAAAAGCGTAAAAGGGGTGGCCAATTCCATGGCATTGAGGGGAGAGAAGGAAAGGGAGTTGGTGTTAGCCTTGGAACAAAATCAAAAGATTAATAACGCCAAGACTGGAAACGATCAATGGGTGAAAATTAGACAAACAGGGAAATCATATAAGGAACTGAATGCTTTACATTTATGTCAAGAGATTCAAGATCATGATGGACCAATTTGGGCCATCAAGTTCAACACTGACGCCAGGTATTTAGCCAGTGCCGGCGATGATAGAGTAATTCATGTGTGGGAAGTTCAAGAATGTGAGGTATTGTTGAACAATGAAGGAGGGCCAACACCGGGGAGTTCACCGGTTCATCCATCGCTCACAGTAGATCAAGATGCCAATAAAAAAAACCAAAACCGGCATCAGTTAAAAACAATCAAGTTCCTGATTATGTCCATAAGCCGGAAGTTGTGTTTTCGCTCTCAGACATACCAACCTGTTCGTTCAAAGGTCATTCCGAAGATGTTTTGGACTTGTCCTGGTCCAAATCAAGGTTCGATACGATTCTCACAAAATCCTTGCCGTTGGTATTTAGAAATGTGTAGATTTATATTGATGGATTTTGCAGCAACTACTTTCATCTTCAATGGACAAAACTGTGAGGCTGTGAGACCTGGAAACCAAAGGCTGTTTAAAGGTGTTTGCTCATAGTGATATTGGTAAGGTTACCTCAAAGTTCATGTTGATCTATCAAACCATACAATCTTACCAAGAGCTTTCCACAACTGGTTTTTCATTTGCAGTAACTTTCATTTATTTCAATCCAGTCGAGGACGATCATTTCATAAGCGGATCGCTTGATGCAAAAGTCCGAATTTGGAATGTATCGGAACGGATATTTGTCGATTGGACCGATATCAATGAAATGGTCACTGCTGCCTGCTACACTCCTGATGGCCAGGTCTTGTGATTATGCTTTTTTTTTTATTCTTGGAATTGCATAAACCGAGCAAAAACTCTTTTCTGAATTGTACTGAATGTTTTCATTATTGAAGGGTGCCTTTATCGGTTCACATAAGGGCAATTGTCGACTGTACAGTACTGAAGGTATATACAGTTTTAATCCCTTTGGTTCAAATTTTACTGTCCTACCATGAATTTGTTTTGTAATAACATTCTTACTTTAATTAATGAACTAGACTGCAAATTAAATCAGAAAGAACCGATTAACCTTCAAACCAAGAAGGCTAATGCTAAAAAGATCACTAGTTTCCAGGTAACCTTATAAACTACGTTGGATTTCATAAATATATACTGTCATTCATTTCCATGTTTTTTCAAGTTAGACTCACTTACAAACTGACATGCTTCTCAACAGTATTGTCCGACTAATCCATCTCAACTACTTGTTACTTCCGCGGATTCTCGAATCCGAATCTTGGAAGGTTCGGAAACGATTTATAGGTTCTGCGGTACGGCCACCGGAAATACTTAAATTTCCTTGTTCTTTTTAGTTTTAGTTTCGAACGTACTGCATATATGTTTATGGTTTTTGCAGGGTTCCGAAACACCAACAGTCAAATTGCAGCTTCGTTTACTCCAAATGGAAAATATGTGTTAACTATGAAAGGCCAGCCTCCAACATTGGGGAAGAGGAACTCCAGACGAGCACAACCCGGTGAAATACCACCATCAATGAAGAGAGCGTTCAACCAAACAACAAGAAAAGCTTACCACCACTTCCCAACAAGAAGAACAACGAGGAGAAACTCGCTACACCTTCGGAAGAACCTGCGCAAACTTGTTCTGTTGATATCGGGATCAGCGGGAGTCGACTTCTTCGACGTCGATAGGCAAAGGCGATTCACCATCCCTTTCATCTTCGTCGATACGAGCTGGTGATTCGCCTACTAACACGAACCCCATCCCCTCGAAATTGGAGGAGTCGGCTTCGTTGTCGTCTTCAGCACCATCGATTTGGTCTTGGTTCGATGTCGTCGGTGGTGGGGCCGGAAGCAACAGCTTGGGGACTAGTAATCGTTACTGCCACTCATGATGGTGAAATCAAGATTTACCAGAATTTCGGGTTACCACGTAAAATTGCCCTCATCTAAACATGATTAGTTACATGACATGGAGAACAAGGAGTTTAGCCCTCGAGCAGTCGAACTAAACTGATTTTTTTATTTGTTATTCTTACAAGACTCTTTTTGTATATTAATATCTATAACTTATTGGATGCAACGAAGTTTTGTTGATAATTCATTTCATTATATAATCATTAGGCAGTCAAATTTTTAATACCATAACAATACGAAATATAAGCATTTTAATATATTCATATGCTATATTTCGAATGTAATGTTTCATTAGCACATTCATTATAAAAAGTTCAACTTGTTTTGTTTTGTTTTCAGTACGAAAACTAACGCAATGCAATGTGTTGAAGAATGAGATCCTATTATCAAAGGAGAATAAAATTTCATCTCATGGATAATAATATTAGTAATATATAATAATTAAATATTTTTTTTGAATAGTATGATGAGATAATTACAAGTTACAGGTAGTATCTATTCAGAATCTTTCTTACCGTTGACAACGCACACACTCTGCAAACATAGCTGCTCGAATTTGAGATCTTTGAAGAAAACAATACTCAATTTAATCACCGAAGTCACTTGTGGGTTTTATATAAGAATTAAATTATTTTATATAATTAATTCAAATCAAAATTTGAATAAAATATTACATATTAAATTAAATTCACTTATAATTATAAGATTTATCTAAAATTATTAATATCATACTTGTGTATGTATCATCTTTCTTCTAATATTTGTAACATTAACTTTCTACGATGTACCGTTTTAAATTTATAAAATAATTAAAAAAACATTTGTATATGCATATTTATAGCCTAATTTTTGAACTCGTAATAAAATACTTATAACACATGCATGCAAATATACCTCGATTATACAAATATGATCGCATGCATCCCTACAAAATGAAGTGAGTTAAATGCAAATATGAAGTTCACAATTATTAGTTAAGTTAAACACATGAATTTAAGTCGAAAGTTTTAGCTCAATTGACACATTCTAATAGTTATATTTCAATTTTAATGTAACTATAATTTTTTTTATCAAAACAAATAAATATTCAATTTAATTACTAGATATCGAAACGATCAAAACGGCACGTCTCATTCAATGTAATATGGACATCCATCCATGGAAGATAAAGTTCACATAGCTCAAATCAAGCCTAGTTTGCCCCCATCATATATTTCTTTCAGGAAAAAAAACGTAGTCCACTGCTTTATGGAGACTGCAACGGAAAGGTCCGAGTAATTCGAACTTTGCAAGACAATTTAATGCCTATCGCATTCTCGTAGCTCATTATAATCGATATAAACCATATAAGAATGGAGTTCAAAGAGCATACCAAACATACTCTACCATGGTTGTTGCTTGTTAGAACTTCTCATTTTCTTCACTGCATTCGGCAGGTAGTTTTCCGGGACTGTGACCACCCACTTTCCCAAACGGGCTGATGGCGGATAAACCTTTGAAGCTGCTGCTTCCTTCACTGAAATTGGACTTTCTAGATTTAGTTGGCTTAGAGGGACTGAATTCCGCTCCTGTATCGATGTTGGTGATCATTCCACTACTCAGCCTTAAAGGACTAGCATCGGCTTCTGATTCTTGATTGTCGGTTTTGGCAACGACTAGTTGGGTGATGCAGCAACGGCAGAATGGGCAAACTAGGACTAAAGGAGATGCTGTCAACGGGTTGGGCTTCTTGTGGCAGCATAGGGCTAAGATGCAAGGAGCACACATCGGGTGACCGCATTGTCTAATCTCTATCGTGCATAGCCGATCAAAGCATATGCAGCATACATCCGCATCGCTCACCTGTTTAAGAAGATTTTCACTGGTGGATTAAAAGCCACGGTCGTATTATAATAGAATATTAACTCTTTATCCCGGAAACATTGGCAGTGATAATATGGGAATTTGCTTTACGTAATCTTTGCATAGAAAATAATAAACAAAAATAAATCATACAATATTACCTCAGAGGCAGCATCGTCAGCTTCGACCTCGTACTGTGAATCAGGTGGAAGTGCATGGATTGTATCCTTCAAAATGGCTCTCTCCCTCTCTCTGTTAGCTTCCATTAAGGCCTTCTCCAAAAGTTCTTTTGCATCCGGATTAAGCTCGCTTATGAACCTTAAAGGCAATGGCCAAACAAGAGGTTCTGCGGATGCAGGGTTCAATAAAGCAGCACATGCTTCGTGTTTGTGCTTCATAGCAATCAAATATGGTATTCTCCTGCAGATTACAAAGCGTTGGACAATCACATTCCCGGAATTTTAGTTCCATTTCTCCGCAATCACTACAGATTGAGAGTTCATATCTGTGGTAAAAATATCAAGCCAAACTGCATGTGCTTTTTACTAAAATCATATGGCATTGGATCATGAAAGCTATTGAACAGGCCAAGAATCACGATCTCTAAAGTCGAAAAACCAAATCACTTTGGCTGATCGGATGTCAGTCCATAACATGAAAATAATGCAATAATTGTGACTGAAAATATCTTTGTATTTTATCGGTAAGAAAGAAAACAATGATTAAATATCATTCTTCCTTTTCCAGATATGCTTACCCGTATGAATCCGGCTGAAGCCTATCGGCTCCCCAAGCGAGTAATTCCCGGATACACTCTATAGAACCCCCACGTGCAGCGAAATGAAGAGGCGTGCTCCCAGGGTAGCTGCAAAGTAACTAAAATCAATCGAAATTTCACACTAGAAAAATATCAAAACACAAAAAAAACAACCAAAGATAATCACCCATTTCCACCAGTTGAAGCACAAACAAGAGCCCCACTATCTAAGAGGGCATGAACACAATTGGACCATCCCTCGCGAGCTGCCAAATGCAGAGGCGTAGCTCCATTTTCATCTCGTATGTTAACAAATCTCGCAAAGCCCCTACAAAATTCACAACGACACCGATTTCAACCAATCAGAGAATAATCATTGTTAAGTTCATCAATTTAGCCACTTTTTGTTCGGGTTTTAAGAAAGAGACCAAGAATCTGCAAGAGGACTGCCATGGGCAGCCGAAAGAAGAGCTTGAAGGCAATCGAAATGACCATAGTAAGCAGCATAATGCAAGCAAGTTCTTCCTTGAAGCGAATCAAACATCAAAACCTGATTAAAGCATTGCTATGATCAGTTTCAAGGCAGAACACAAAATGGTAAACAGTTTCAGACAAAAAACAAAACAGGACATACATATGATCCACTCTGGATAAGCCTTTTCACACACTCGGTCTTCCCATGCATTGCAGCCAACATCAATGGGGTCTAAACCGATCACAAGCAGAACAGATCATGAGATGGAAATCAAAAGAGAACCAATCAGAAAACATGCAAAGGAAAAAAAAACACAATCGGTACCTGTCTGTGACGATTCCAGATGTCTGAATTGGGATGTCGATTTAAAAGAAATGAAAGAATCTGCAGCCAATGATCAAACCAAACGCCAAAAACAAAAAGAATCCCAGAAAGAAACTATCAACATTGTCCCCAAATGAAAATCCCAAAATCCATTAAGAACAAAAAATAAACAAAACCCACATCGATCTGACCATGGATGGCTGCAACATGAAGAATAGATAACTTCCCATATCGAGTGGCGCTTTTTAAGGCACTTGGGTTTGCTTCAACCATTGCCTTAACCATCTCCAAGTCACCTGTCTGAACAGCACTGAACAAAGCAGTCTCATGGTTTTCTATGCAGCTAAGCTTTTGACCCATCACCTTCTCTCCACCTTATCTGCTATTTTAACAACCGGATAACAGCCCCAGCAGAGTCTAGCTCACGCGCCACCGGTAGGTGGGGGTGGGGGTGATGGTGATAGTATAGTGGGAAGCGAGAGTTGTGAAAGTGAGATGGGCTTTTAATCTATCTTATTTGTACTATTTAACTACACAGTACAGACCGTGGAGCTGATGCCTCGTAGTTTGGTCCGAGATTTCAGGCCATTTACCAATTGCATTTCGGACATGATAAGATTCTTCGTAGAATTTTGAACTTTAACATGCCCTTAAAATCATTGATTTGTGTCAATTCTCCAACAGTTTAATTCCCCATCCATAACCGAAAGATCATGAGTTCTATACTCACTAAAAGGATTCTTATTCTTTTCCCTAAAATTTTCCTCCTCCTTTTCTCTAGGTTTAAGATTAAATTTAAGATTTATAAGAGAAAATAAAGGTAAAAAGACACATGAGACCCCTATACTTTTTTAGAAAACTAATGTAGCACTCATATTATTTTTCACCCAATGTGACTCTCTAATCAAAAACAAACTTAATGTAGTCCTTTAACCAATATTTTTTGTAGTGGACCATTATGATGATGACTTGACAGTCCACGATGACTAATGATGTGATATATGACTTGACAGATTGATAAATTAATTTTTTTTTGTTTTGTTCGGGACAAATTTTTTTAAAAAGTTTGGGGATTTATTTCATTTAAAAAAATTATTTTAAATTTTAAATATAAAAATATTCCAAATTTTAAAAGAAATTAAATATTTATAAAGTTTATGGTCATATGTCACACCATCAGTCATCGTGAATTGTCATGCTAGAATTATGAACCGCCATATTAACATTGTTAATCACGTCAACATCGTAACGTCAACGAAAAAAATATTATTAAAAAAGCCGCATGAATTTTATTTTTTAAATTGGAAGATCAATTGAGTGAAAATATAATATGAGGATTATAATGAGTTTTTTTCAAGTACAGTTATCTCAAGTGTATTTTTGGCCCAAAAAATGGTAGCTTTTTACCTATTTTCTTCATCGTCACCGTCCTTGACATCATCTACCTCAACCTTTTACCTTTTTTGGTGTTTAGTGTCCAATAATTACAGCTCAAAAGAAGGAAACAAAATTTAACAAAAAGAGAACATTGTGTATGCATGCGCATGCGCATGCTTATGCTTTGCTATTTGGATTAATTTCATAAATATTAATTAATTCTTATGAAAACTATTTCAACTTTGGAGTCAAATTTAGACCACCAAAAGGAATGGAATCCCTTTAACATTTCTATTATTATTTTTCAAGTAAAGTTTTTTTTTACTCTACTTAAGGCTTTATTGTTTTATTCGTATTCAAAATACAAACAAAACATGAGTTTAAAATGAAAGATTCTTGTATTCATTGAGTACTCTTAGTGGTATAAAAATAATATTATTTTTATTGAAAGATTCCATTTCAAATAGTTAGCGTATGCAGTGTATGTACTTATTATCAATAAATTTAAAAAAAATCTAAATTGATATTAATTTATAAAATTATAATCAGACTAATTTTAAAAAAAAAGAATTTTTTTTAACAAATTAAATGATAATTACATGTAAGAGATAAGATAACATCCAAAAAGTGAAAAGGGATCATACTAAATCATTAAGAGGGAATAAATAAGAACCCATTAAACCCAATAAATCAATACATTGAGAAAGAGAAATAGATTCGTTGCTTTTTGTATATATTGTTCTTTAATTTGGAAATATTCTTGGTTTTGATTAATATTGGGAGTGGACAGCGAATATGTTACGGAAAATTACAAGTTACGGACGTAAGCATTGTTCCATCGATATTCATAGAAATAAAATAAGAACCCTAAATCCACGAAAAAACAAGGATCGTAATACTCCTTAGAGGCTCTGTTTACGGTTGCCGATGGTGGCACCGGTCGGACCTCGTCGGCTGAAACTACCTCAACCAAGGGGCGGGTCGGGTCTTCTTCGTCAACCGGTTCTTGTAGCGCACTTTATAACGAGTGTTGCTAATTGCTATTCAACTGCGATCGACAACCCCTTAGCTTCAGAGTACGAACCCGAGAATCCTTCCTCCTTGCTGCATACCTGGACTATGTCCCCTTAAAGAGTAGACCGTCGTTGTTCAATGAACACTAAAGAGAGATTATTCGAGAATAGATTAGAAAATATTTTGGCAGGAGAAAAAGACAAATATGAGATTTATGATTATTGGTGTGTTTTACGAATTAAACGACTTCGGTGGTTAAGAAATTATTGTTATTTATTGAGGTTCTAGATTCAAACATCACGTGTGTAGAGATTTATGAATATTTAACGTTAAACGGTTGAGAATCTTTAAGATATACTACCTTATCTTCACCTCATATTTTTATTTTTATTTTTTGAACTGAGAAGGTGACTTACAGAGTTAAACATAAGAAGGCTGCCAATCAATGCTGAGACTTATTATTGCTATGGAGGTATTCTTCGATCACCGTTGGTGGAGAAGGTAAGGAATTTACTTTGAATGGGAGAGTCTACGCAAGTTTAGCTATTTCATCCGCAATTTTATTACATTCCCATGGCATATAACTAAACTTCACAGACCAACACCGATTGAGCACATTCTTTATATGTGGTATCATTGACGACATAGCACCTGATTCTTTACCCCAACTGAGAGCAGAAAGAGCCTCCCTACTATTTGATTCCCCAATAACTGTCGATAAGTTTAAATTCCATGCCAGCATCAAGCCCTCAAAAATACCCCAAAATTTCGTATCTAGAATCGAACAAATACCTATAGGTTTAGAGAAACCCACAATCCGTCCACCATAGCAATCCCTTATAGCACCGCCACACGTCGTTAGTCCCGAATTAGATTGTCTCGCCCAATCCGTATTCAATTTGAACCAACCCATCGGTAGTGGTTTGCTCTTTCTTCTACTCACCTCCACAGCAAGATGTGAATTCCTTGCTCGCATATAGTCTCTTGTTACATTCGTAGGCTGAGTTGCAATATAATATCTGTAGCAATAAAATCCTGCTCAAACAGTGTCTTGTTACGACGAACCCAAATATTCCAAATCATAGAACCAAAAAGGAGGTCCCACTCTGTGTTGAAAGCCGGAAAATGGTTTGGTTGATGAAAGTTCTTAACAAGCCATGGAATCAAATCAAGGCTGAAGAATTCAATTGCAGTATCCGGCTTGATCACCTCATTCCAAGCTGATTTTCCTACTACACAATCACTAATAATATATATGAATATCAGATTCAATAGAAGCACCACAAATATTACAGCCCTCACCGGATGCCATGTGTCTCCAGACCCGCTCTTGATTAGAAAGAAGACAACCCCGACAAATGATCCAAAGAAGAGATTTAATACGTGCAAGGCCTTTATAGTTCGAAACAATTCTCCATAAATAATAATCATTATCCGTTGCCTCAGTTGTTGTGAATTTTCTGCGATCTCCAACCAGGTTTATTAGCACCGCCTGAAGCGATTGGAGGTTTTATAGGAGCAAGTTGAAGTTTTGCTGAAGATGAGATTAATATCATTCAATGACCGATCTCCATTTGAGGTTACTAGGGATGCTACAGTTGCGGCAGGTGGAACGATTGAATCTTGAACTAAACAAATAGGAAAAGAACTTGCTTCCTGCTGTATATGTTTGGGGCTTTGGGCTTGAATACGGTAACTTGAGAGAAAATTTTTGGGTAAACTACAAGATTGACCACTTCTGTTTAAATTTTATACATTTTTCCTCATTGGATTTCAAAAATATATATGGTCATTTTCATTTTTATTTAATTAAGATATGGTCATTGAGAGTTAATTGTCGTTAGATCTTTAACGGATTGTTGACAAAACATAATGAATTTATAAAATTAAAAAGGATAAACTACACAAATGATCACTAATATTTGAATAAATTTTTATTTTTTCCATTGAAGTTTTAAAAATAACCGAAAATTAATATAATTCTAAACATGATAACTATTATATTTTGACATAATCAAACATTTTCTTAAATAGACTATTATAAAAGTTATGCTTTAACATAATTTTGAGCGACCATTCTATGGACTATGTTCAACTAGATCAGACTATCATTTGACTAAATTAATATATTATACTTCGTTAAAAAAATATTTTCCGGTAATAGTTCCCACCCACCTATCATCATTGTCGAATTCATCCAACCTTTTGGGATAAGTGAAACCCGAAGTGACCCTCCTTCCTTGTTGCATACTTCAACTTTGTCTCCTATAGAAAGCACCGCCATTGATGAGCCTCAAAACAATGACTAACCCATAGAAAAGTTTTTCACATTGAATAATACGAAGAAAGAAATTTGTTATATTAAAGCGTTTTTAGATATGGTGAAGACGGTTAATGTTTGCCTAATCATAATAGGAAAAGAATTTGATTCATTGTTTATTTGTTTTTGGCATGGTAACACACTTAACAAAATCTCTCTCTTTTTAATAAGAATTGTAAACCAAATTAAATTAGGGTAAAGTTTATAAATAGTTCCCCGATATAGTATATTACTTTGTTAAGTCCCTCAATTATTAAAAGATATAAAATGGTCCTTCAATTATAGGGTGTTGCTTTGTTGAGTCCCTCGAATATTAAAGTTACAAAATGGTCACCCACTATTCATATGTTACAAACTCGTCCTTCTCCGTTAAAAAGAATGATGGCAATCTGAGCTGACGTCAACATGCTAACTGAGGTATGCTAAAATATGATCCCAGAATCTCAAACGACTATCATATCTCAGTCAACATTTTAACGTCCACTTAGATGATTGTCATTTTTTTTACCAAAAAATGACGAGTTTGGAACATATGAATAGTCGAGTGATCATTTTGTAATTTTTAATATTCGAGGGACTTAACAAAGTAATATCATATAATCGTATGATCATTTTATAATTTTTAATAGTAGGAGACTCAATAAAATAATGCTCATAGTGGGGGGGACTATTGTGTACTTTGCCCATAAAATTAACTCAAAGATATAACATTGAAAAATTGTACGTATCGGCCCATGATTTTCACGCACATTTTTGTTTTTTTTTTCATCAAATCTCAAACCCACTAGGGTAATGATTTTATATTTAATTGGGCCAAAAGTGAAAAGGCTACAATTTTTTGGGCGTCAAAGGTTTTTTAAAGTGGGTTATCAACATTTTTTTGTTACATGGGCTTATATTAATA